GTGATACTGCTAAGTCGGAAACAATATTTCCAACATTTTAACCCGTATGTATTTAACTTAGTACCCATATTTGTTCGTTATTTACTTCCGATGGGCGTTGACAACGTTCTTCATTTTCAAGCCTCTCGTAGCCTCTTCGAATTTTTTGAAACCGCCGTTGGCGATTCCAGGACCAATTGCACTGTTGTTGTCACGAGCTGTTTCTGCTGCATTCCGACTAAGTTTACATTGGAACAAGAGAATTGTACGAATTTGTTCCATTCATGTTGTATTAAATGTTCCCTGAAAGTGTGCATACGTTACTGAGCTACGTTATCACGCGTTTCAACTTGACATACAATGTCAATGCAATTTGTAAGATGTTTATTCAAAAGTACATTCATTAAAATTAATAAAATCATAGTACCTTTATTAACGACTTTATGGTTGCGGTCTTATGTTGTTCATGTGGCCCATTACCACATGAGAATGAAGACCCACTCGTGGCCGATCGTCCCATACTGACTCTGGATTGACACATTGCACACTAATTAGCTGGTAACTTATCGGTTGATGAACAAGGCACTCGGGCGATATACCATTCGGTCCCAGCTCAATTCAAGCATCGCTGAATGCGACAACGCAGAACACTCTACGCTTTAATAAGTGATCCACACTTATATCTGCAATGGAACAATGGTATATTACGGCTAAATAAGTAGTTGGAGGGTTTCATTGTGACTCTCTCTCATCCCCACACTCCACGCTCGACGGTTTCTTTCTGCTTTGGACTCATCAGATGGAGAATGCCGTGTTGGAAGTGGAACTCGACGCAAAGTGCTTGTCGGCTATCGCTCTGCGAGCCGTGTTTGACACAACGGTTAGAAGTAGATTTTCGGGTTTTTGCAGCACTCGCCGTGTATCTTGAATTGCGACGCGCAATCTCCCTAGCGGCGTCGGTCGGCTTTGAAGTCAGCCTCTGCCACTACCGTCACCGGGACCGTCACTGAAGTGGAGGGTTTCAATGTAGCTCTCTCCCCTCCCTGCACTCCACGACTAACGGTTTCGTCTTTGTTTAGACTCATCATGTAGAGATAGCCGGACTGGGAGTGGAACTCGGGGCATAGTGCTTGGCGGTTATCGCCATGATCACTATGACATTGAGCTCCGCGAGCAGTGTTCGACACAGCGGTTAGAAGTAGATTTTCGGGTTTTTGGAGCACCCGGCGTGTTTTGCATTGCGACACCCAATCTCAGTTGTGGCTTCTGTTGGCTCTGACGTCAGTCACTGCCACTACCGTCACTGGGACCGTCACTGTAGTGGAGGGTTTCGATGTGGCTCTCTCCTATGTCCGACGGTTTCGTTCTGGTTGCTTAACGAGTCCCGTAGGATAGCCTGAATGCGAACCGCAACGTGGTGAATAGAAAACAAAGTGATAAAATGAAAATAGTTTTGACATGGACTCACCGCAGTGTTCACACAGAGACATGCAGAAAACATACAATCTCGATTGTGCAGGTTAATTTTGGTTCCTCTCATTATATCGTCCATCGAGTTAGACGGGCTGTATCTCCTAGCGTATGTGGATTAAGGAAATGTAAATATGTTTTTGCATACACAGGTAAAGTTGGGGCGGAAGAAACGTAATTCGGGAGGACGTTCCATAGCTGGCACACACGAAGAGAGTAAAAGTTTCGCCGACATTCTGGACGACTGTATTGTGTTGCCACACTGCCCCGTTTCCCTGGCTGCGTTCAACGTTCGTACTCTTAAACAACTAGTTCAACAGGCTGCACTCGCACGCATGTTAGACCCGCTGGGTAATGTTGTGTGTCCGAAACTAGGATCCATGATCCCCACAGGGTTGTTGGATTAACTGCACCCGGTTGTCCTCTCGCTATTGGTTGCACGAATCCGGAGGCGCTCAAGCGGCGCTCACTGGTCAAGCTTGGCTGGGTAACATTCCCAGCTCCAAGGCTGAGCCATCGTTGGTTGATTGGATTCCGGTGAACAGCCGTTTGTGTACAGCCCGTTTGAGGACATCAACTAAGGTTGATGTAGTACAAAACGCTGTTTCTTTACGATTTCCGCTTATGCTCCCACCGACTGCAGTTCTACTGCTGCCATGGGCACATTTTCTCCTGAACTGAATGCGCTACTGTGCAGTGCTACTAGTTCGGATATCATAGTGCTTGCAGTGGATATGAACGCACAGGTATTGCGTCTGAGCTCTTCAGAAACTCAGCTGGGTAGTAATTGTGGGCTCCACTCGGAACGGGCTGACGACGGCGAGCGTCTGTTGCAACTGTGTGCGGAGCACCAGTTGTTTCTCAGTAGCACCACTTTTAGACAGTGCACACCGAAGTATCACTTGACGTCCTCCTGTAACTGGCCAGCGACGGACTTAAATTGATCACATTGCCATAAAGTACATGTGGCGTGGTTCTATCCTGGATTGTCGCTCTTTCTGGAGCACTTGCGTCGGCTCTGATCATACCTTGGTACGCTGTCGTTTTTCCATGAGCTTTACTGGGAGCTCTACCAAGCGTCTTTCCCGATTAGCAACTGAGAAATTGTCTCAGCCCTCGATCAGATAAGTCTAGGAAGATACCCTGCGTACCGAACTTTCGCTGTCTTGTCCTAATAACTAAGGATGTGTGTACCCGACAAGTTTGTCGCCATTCTGAGGGAACAGTACATTTACACCTACAAAATTAGCGCTTACGGCAGACTTTCCTCTTCGTTTGCTGTCACCAATGACGTTCGCCAAAGTTGCCCTATTTCACCTTTCCTTTTCAATTTTGTCATAGAAAATGTGCAACGAGCACTAGAACGGGTTCAGAATTGCGGTGTTGATCTCCTCCCTGGCACCAGAATCGTGGACTTGGACTACGCCGATGACATCGCTTTGCTGGGTGACAATCTGTGACTCGTCCAAAATCCCTTGATCCGCTTAGCTATCGAGGCATCCAATTATAGCTTGTATTTCATCCCACTTAAATGTAAAGTGCTATTTCAGGATTGGCAGGGGCCTGCGTTCGCATTCACCATTGCTGGTGACATCCTGGAACAAGTGGATTGCTTCACTTATCTAGAGAGTCGTATCACGGCTGGTGGGTGTGTTAGAGATGAGTTTTCACAGCACATTGAAAAATCTTGCCTTGCTCCCATCAAACTGAGACACCTATGGAGTCGTCGTGACGTCAGTCTCAAGCTCAAGAGGACGGTATAAAATCCTTCCGTCTGTACGGCTGTGAGATCTGGCTTGTTCGCTCGGAAGACATGAGACGATTATGTTTCTTGACAACCGTTGTCTGCGAAGCATCGCTTGTATGTGGTGGCAACATCACGTACGCAATATAGAGGTTCGTGAACGAGTGCTTTTGACGCACAGCCCCAGTCTTAAAACCTTGTTCTCCAACAACACATGGGTTGGCTCGGCCACATACTGCGGAAACCAGCCTATCGCCTTCCTCGGCGAGCGTTATTTGCGCTTCCCAGAAGCGCTTGGATGAAGTATCGCGGTGGAAACCAATGACATGCAAAAGGAGCACGAAGAAGCAGCCCCAGCTTCGCTTCAGTCGGATTAGCGCACCTTCCAGTTTGGGGACCATGTTACTCGGAATTCCCGTGGTAGCAAACGCTAGATGTGTTGGCACGTAACAGGTGTCAGTGGTGACAGTGTTGTGCCGCTTTATCTGTTTATTAACCTCATATATATATATATATATATATATATATATATAGTCTAGAATACTCTGCGCGTGGGAACCAACGAGTGGAGTTCGTCCCTTCCGACTTGGACAGTCGAAACCCTGTTAGGACCTTTATAACAGTTACAAAGTATCCAGGTCTGATTGATGCATACGAAAGTGTTCGATTCGCTCACTTACACGGATATATTATCTCTGGTGGTAACTTCGCGTGGTGGAATACCCCAAACATATCCGTGTTCTTTTGTTGAGGATCTCGTCACTTATGGAGTCTGAAAAGCGCGGAGAGAAGCCGAATGTTGCTAGATGCACATATTTCAAACTACATGCATCTACCAGCCTTCGTCTTCTTTCCTAGTTTTTTCAAATTCTTTAAGGGAACTAACTGCTTTAAACTTGTGGAGTTGGTGGGATTACGGGCTTACTGATTAAAAAGAGTTTACAACTCTGCCTTGCGAAAAAGGTTGTTGTACGAATCAGAGACATGAACACTGCGCATCAAGGATACTCAGAGGCTGACCATTTTTGACTGCTGATGGCTATGAGATATTGCTCATATCTAGCGGGAACACTGGATAAGTAGTTCTGAACTTCATCCACTGGTGTTTGACAACAGAACATCTAATCTGTCCCTGGAATTCCTATTGAATTTGACTGAGTCATGTGCTCCATCTATCTACGTGCGGTCTCCTTCGTCGTTTATTGGTTGTTAGCTGATGTGCCGGGTTGGTTAGTCAATGACATGACAAATGCGTCTGGCACGAAACTCATCGAATGATCAAGTTTGGTGCTTGCCTTGTTCCTGTATGTGGTCCTCTGGACAAGCCACATCACTGGTTAGACACCTTATCAAATACGCCGCGACCACGAATTCAACGGCGTTCTTGCACACGTTTCCTTGTTTTTCACTCATGGCTATTCCATCCATTCCATTCTTCATAACTAATCGTTAGCAATATCATTGCCATTTTCCACGATAGGAGTCACGACAACTGGTCCACTCCACTCTCGCACAAAGACCATAGTTGCTTGGCCGGAGACTGAAACTGACTGCATAGGGCACTGTTTAGCTCAGGTCTGTTTTCAGTTCACTGACCTGAGAATAACGAGGTCGCCACCGTAGCACTCTGACACAGTGCCTAACTGCTCATATTTGTCCCTGCTTATTCACCACGCACCACATATGTTGTCTCATTTTGTTTTCCACTCATCCAGTTTCCACCTTTCTGTCTTTCGAATTTTCCACCTGCTTGCCATCGTAAGGTGATGGAGTTCGCTACCGCCAGCTTTACATTTTTTTTCGCTAGACTGAAGTCGAGGCCACCAGCCGGGCTATCACACTTGCCGATGCTGCAGCCTGCCCTCTCTATGTGGTTCACGTCATGAGCGCTGCTGCTGCCCGAATCATCTCCGATGCTCGTCACAATGGTTGTGTAGTGATTGGTGAAGCAGTGCCCTCAGCTCTGGCCACAGATGGTCGGCACTATCTCAACTCGTGTTGGCGTCACGCTGCTGGTCACATAGTGAGCCCTCCACTGCACCCTGACCCAAAGAATTCTTTGGAACTGATGCGTTGTCTCGGACATGGCGAACTGGAGGTCACTGGCAGCAATCATCGTGTCTTTCGGACGGAACAAAGAGCGCGGGGTAAAGATGATTTTCGAAAAATACCCAATGGAGCTAACGGTGTTGAAGAGCGCATGTCGGTGATTTGGGAAAAAGGAGTGGTAAGTTGCTCCTGTCATTGCGTCCCATCTTGAATTGAAGTCCTGTAGCGTTCAAGGTTATATTTTTTCCAGTTGTGGTTACTGAACCTTTCGAGCGTTGCTTTGCGAATTGCCGCACCTAACACAATATCTGTGTAGACAAAAGTAGTAACACCTGTTAATAGGATAAGCAGAAGCATTACCACTTGAGAGTTGCGCCGTAAATAGCATAAACTATTCTATTGCGAGTTTATAACTGTGCTTCGAACAGCTTTTGATTGTTAGCCTTCAGTTAGTTGTAGTGTAGCGATCATCTGAACATCAATAATGTGTCAGCTGGACGCCGTAACGGCTCTTCGCTGCCGCGCGACCACCACCAGTCGCGCGCGGGCTGAGTATACCACGAGGACGCCTACTCTTACGCGGATTCGAACCGGTGACCTTATGGTTGCAAAGCAAACGTGCAGACCACTCGGCCACCGGCCGACTCTGAACATCAATGCTCCCTATCATTACCTACCAGAAAACAAGTTGCTTTCAAATGAGCCGTCTTTCATTTCCGGAATCACCCCAAAACGAGTGCATCAGGTTCGCCAATATTGAGTTCAAAGGGAGTAACTTGTTCTCAGTGCGCAGGCCCGGCCCGGGAAGCATTGGAAATGCATCACCTTTGGCAGCATTGATTCATTTTGATAACCAGCGAAATCATGCGAGAATGTTGTGGAAAAGCACTTAAATTGAAATGCGATAAGATCAATAATAGGATTTGGGCACGTGAATGTGTGTGATAGCGTCTTGGCAACTGGATATGTTTGTGGGTTCTCCGTGAGAAAGCGTTCACCTCTTTTGACCCATAAGAGCTTAATGGTAGGCGGAAAAGCGGGAAATGCTTTCATTGCATTCCTCACACCCATGTTGCATAATGTTTTCTACGGATGGGTAATCCGTATGTCCGGGGTTCGATTCCCCGTCGAGACAGATTATTGTGCAAAGTTTAATCGTGGCTTATACTTTCTACAACATTTTTACAAGAAGTTATTACTACTGTTTCTTGATTTAGCGTCATCCGGAGCATCATAAAATGACGTACTCACCTGTGAACTAATTGTGGCAGAAGTCAGGTGTTACTGTGATCCAGAGGAGATCAAGGAAAGAATTAGCTCGATGAACATATAGAGGGTAAAGAACAAGGTTTGCATGGCAAATTACACCAAGCAGCGTATGCTGCTGGTATTTTGCAATGTCTCGTTGGTGCCAAAAACGTTTGCAGATGTGTATGGTCGATGAACGAGCGGTTCTCTGTGTCCATGGTCGCTTAAGACTGACAAACAGCTGTTTCTCCACACACACAATACAGGATTCACTCGGCTACTCGTCGCAGACTCAACGAAGTTCAGAAGGCGCATGTCAACTTGTTTAGTAACATTTTCTACGCTGGGTTGTAGTAGGGCAGAAGTGTCTACAAGTAGATTGGACGACGTGGGCCTTAGTGTGCACAATAAGTAGAATGACCAGTGACTTCCTGTTGAACTCATTTTGGCACATGCTCCCTCGTTATATATCTCATTGCTCTATCGGTTCTGCTTAGTCGTTTTGTTCCAACTGTTCTCCATTTCATGAGTTTGAATGAGTGCTTTTTGTTGGCCGTCGAAGTGTGACACTATCTTCTTGATGAACACACAACCAAGGGCCTTGGACTCATCGGTAGCGCTGCGAAACTCTGTGTAATGCGATGGTGTTTCACACACCACTCGCGTACTTATGGGATCAACCAGCGTGCTCCGTGATTTCCCCATCCGAAACACAAATATGTTAACCAGAGTTGCTCGGACTTTCTCGCTATAACATCACATCACTCGCAGATCGGTTTCGTCCTCTTTCGGGCTCATCAGATGGAGGTGGCTAGAGCTCTGAGTAGAACTCTCGGAACGTAATGACTGACGCCTTGAGCATTAGGCCACTGGAATCCGTAAACAACTATTGGCACCGCGCTTTGGTTTTCGGATTACTCACTGTGTGTTTGGATTGCAGCAGGCAGTCTTTATTAGGACTTCGACTTCGGTCATTCCGATTACTAGGACATTTTCAATCTTCCGTCACTAGCTCCAACTTGTCGGAGTACAACAATGAGCCTTCACTCGCGGTAACGGTACTCCTGATCACCATCAGGCCGTTCGAGCATCGCCACACCGAAACGGCTACTTCATGGCTTATTAGGTTCGCCCATCTTCACAGTCTGTGTGTCTCTCTCGCA